GGGTTCCTTAAAGGGATCAGTAAGGGATCTATAGGGGCTTATTAAAGGATCATGGGCGAAAATAACCTAGGGTTATAAAAATGGTAACTCTACTTTCGGAAATACGTTTAAGCCCAATCAACGTACTTGAACCCTAAACCCTAAACCGTACTTACGAAGTCCCATGATCCTCCAAGTGGAACCCTAAATCCTAAACCAAGTAGAACCCCAAACCCTAAACCAAATTGAACTCCAAACCCTAAACCCTAAGCTAAGTAGAACCCTAAACCCCAAAACCTTAACCAACTAGAACCCTCGACCTTCCAAAGTGACCCCATGAGAGACGCGTGGCAGCTTCTCCAATTTCTCCTCCCATCGGACCACTTCCTTTTGGAATGGTTTAGCTTAGGGTTCACCTTAACCCCAAATCACTTACCTTTCTAAGGACTTACATAAAGAAATCGTAATATGGAACCCTAAAAACGTAGGTTCTTTGCTTTTGTTCAAGGATTGCAGGGCGTAGTTCTTGGCACAGGCTCCGTTAGCCCTGCCCTAAACCCTCAAACTGAAAACTTGTAGCCTGATTCGTAAAACTTAAACCCTAAACCCTAAACCCTAAACCGTACCCTGATTCGTAAAACTTAAACCCTGAACCCTAGTTGTCGTCGGTTGATTGAGGGATCTCTCTCATGGTGATGAACTTGAGGTCTAATTTTCAGGTTACCTTAATGCATAGAACATAGAAGGGCTTTTGGGTATGCTATACCCTAAGCCCTATAATCTAATTATAACCAGGAACCCCAAGGTAGACAACTGATAATGATTCCGGCTTTGATATGGGTAGTTCTCTGAATTAGAGTCCCTTTTAAGGGTCCTGTCTATAAGGGTGCCGTGCCATACTGGGCACCTAAAGAAAGCACCCGAACAGGACGTGGCTAGGATCATTCGTGGAACTCTCTGGCTCTTGGCAGTAGACATAGGGGTTAGGGTTTAGGGTTTAGGGTTTAGGGTTTAGGGTTAGCCTAATATAGAGCCAGCCTGTCAGCTTTTGTCACATTGACAATGCCATCCTTCGGAGCGCTACCAACCCTAAACCCTAAACCCCAAATCCCATAAGTCCCTAACCCTGAAACCCTAAACACCAAATCCCATAAGCCCCTAAACCCCAAACCCTAAATCCCACAAGTCGCTAACTTGTGCTTCTTTGAGGGCCATGGGCTTCGCAGGCTTCAGGGTTTCGGGAAAACAGCCAAAGGGTCGGCCCTGGCCTGGATTGGCCAATCCACGAAGGCCTCAACTATTGGGTTTAGGTTTAGGGTTTAGGGTCTAGGGCTCAAATGCATGAAGCTGCGCTCGGCTTGCTTTGCCAAGGCTTTAGCCAGCGAACCACCTGCTCGTAGCTTGGCATAGCTCCGCTTTGAGGGGATCCTCCAGGAGAACTGTCTCGTTTTGCACTCAGCTTCCTCCGAAGCTACATGCGCAGATTTTGTTGCAAATTGCAACAAAATAGGGCTGCTCGCCAAGGCCCGGTACCTTGACAACCGTTGTCGGCTGTGGTGCTCGACATGCGGCAAACTCCACCCTGCCGGACCCAGAGGCTGGTTCAGCAGTGTCACCTTGTCTCCCAGAAGCGACTTCCCTGAAACCTAAACCGGTCGTCAACTTCTGGCACAGCTTCAGCACTTGCAGCCTCTGCTGCCTCTACACGGTACACCACATCCCTCGCAGCCAGCACGGGCGGAACCTGCCTTGAGTAGACCTTCCATGCAAGGGAAGCCTGCTCCACGGCAATCAGCACTAGAGTCAAGAACTCCGGTAGTCAGCTCTCTAGGGATATACACACCACACCTGTCTAAGGTTCTGTACATGATTGCCGTGTACATCTCCTTAAAAAAGGTAAGTGTGTTGTGGCCAAGGTAGACTCCACAACATCATACCCAAAAGCCAACACCGAAAACCCTGAACACAAGAAAGCGCACATCCTATCCCAAACCTTTAACCCTAAATAAACCCTACCCTAAACCCTAAACCCTAACCCCCTAAACCATAAACCCTAAACCCGAACTAAATTAAACCCTGAACCACGAGCCCTAAACCACGACAATGTAGCGACCAAAACGTAGTTCGACCAGGCTTCTGAAGTTTTTTTGCAGTGGATGCGATTACCTATGAACCCGAAACCCTACTAATTTGAGGGTCCTATGAATCCGAAACCATGCTAATTTGAGGGTCCTATGAATCCGAAACCCTACTAATTTGAGGGTCCTATGAATCCGAAACCATGCTAATTTGAGGGTCCCACCGTCAACATAGGGGTCATGACTCATGACCCATTATGTTTGTAAGCTTTGGGGCTTGCAGGAAGGATCCTGCAGGAAGTGTATGGTTTAGTAATTAGTACACGTAGTTTGTTGCGACCCTACTATACACACACACCCCCCAGATGCGAACTCCAATGAAATTCTTATACAACCTTTACCCATAACAGCCATCCACGAATAGTAATACGCATCAAAGCCCCATCACTAGACCTGGACTATAAAAACCCTGAAGCCTCAACCCAAAAGAGCAAACTTAAGAAACCCTGAAGACTTTGGGGTGCAGGGTTTAGGATTCATAAACCCACGCTATAGGGTCGAAAATCCCAGCTCTGTTTCATGACCAGGGCGCCCAGGAATGCTGGATGCGACGGCCACACTCTTTCGCCTCGTCTGCTCAGATGTAAACAAGTTCCGTACGCCGATCTCGGGTGCTTTCAAGGTTCCTGTACAGGTTCTTGAAAGGGTTTAGGGGCTCCTTCACAGGCTCTTTGAAGGGTTAGCAGTATGTTATAGTATGTTACAATTTTCCTTGTCGAGGAAGGAAGGGTTTGAGAAGCGCGTGCAAACAAGGTGCCCCTTTTCCCACTGCGGATTCAATCTTCAGAGGGAGACCTCAAAACAAAATGGGTGGAGGGATATTTTTCGCAACCTAGATATATAAGGCATTATGCAAGCCAGTTCGTGGAAACACAGTGCTCTAAACCGTACCTGAAGCTTGTTCAACAAACCTTCGTTCGAGATCTGTGCCATCCGTACTGTTGCAAGTGTGGTCGTAAGCCTAAAAGGCCAGCTACCCGTGGCATGGGTTACTGTACTTCTGCTGCTTAGTGCTGTGTCTGTGTGTGTCTGTGTTTAATTTTCTTTATCAAACCCAAAACCCTCAACGCTCTTACGTAAACACTCCTTCCAAAATGGTGATGAGAGGCTGGGTTTGGTGCGTCCGGTTCTTGTAACGGAAGCCCTCTGGAACCGTACTTCTAAGTAGTCAGGCTCTTGGGATTAGGGTTTTTAGCTTTGAAGGCCCTGTAGTCTTCTGTATTGATGAAGCATACATGCTTTGGTAGTTGGGTGGGGTGTGGTAGGCGACCGTTGTCGCATGGAAAGAACTCTGTCCAGGGTCCGTGGCCTACTTCCACTCAGGGAAACACACAAAGACACATGGGACACACAGTTTGGGGTTCAGTGTCCTGGGTTCATATAGGGTTATGGTACCCCAAAAAACCAAAAGGTGCAACTTGAGCCTTACACCCACACCCGGAACCCGAAACTGTCTATACTCCGTAACGACGAAAGCTGCTTCCGACTAGCGGCTTCAATGGTCAACGGCCCCGAAACCTGCATCATCATGGGAGAAGGCCAAAGGAGCAACAGAGAAGACTTAGTCATTAGACAGGGATTTAGGGGTTAGGGGTTAAGGGTTTAGGGTTCTAGGGTATTTTGGGGTGCATTCTGCCAAGAGATGTTGCTTGGGACGAAGTACCCTTAAACCAACGGTGGTTGCGCAAGGTGAAAGGCCATGCAAGCCCCCTCATGCAGTCTCTTGTAACTCGAAGCCCTACACCTCAGGCTCCAAGTAGAATCTAAGGGTTCTATAACGGTATCGAAGAATTTGTAAGTTAAGCAAGAAGCTTCATATGATATAGGGTTTTAATGAATGGGATCCGATTTCGTGTAGCGCCCAACAAGATAATAGACGAGTTCACAGCCCACCATTAAACGATGGAACCCGACCAAACACGCTTGCAGCCTGCACAAAGGAAATGTGCTGACTCCCAAAGCGCCAACTCAAAATCTCTTGGCGAAATAGAGCAGATCGCAAAACTCATCTTAACATACAGCCCAAAACCCTAAGCCCTTAAATACCCGAAACATCCCAAAGCCTTACAGCCCCAAAAAACCTAAACCCAGAAGCCAGAAACCCTACAGCCCTAAGCCCTTAAGAGTTAGAACCATCAAGGCCGTTCTAAACCCAAAGCCTAAACGTCCGAAGCTCAGCAAACCCTCGGGCTTAGGGTGTTTTTGTTTAAGGGTTTCGGGTTTAGGGTTTAGGGCTTAGGGCTTCGGGTTTAGGCTGTAAGGTTTGGGATTTAAGGCTTAGACTTTGGGTGACAAAACGGAGCGGCACCCACCTATCTCATGTGTGCAGCTGTGTATGCGCCTGTGTGCGTCTGCATGTCCCTCTGTGTGCGTGTGTCGGCGTAGGGCTACAGGCATGGCTCAGGGATTCGAGTTTAGGGTTTATAATACTTATCGATCAACAGACCGAAGCACACCCGGACTTGAGGATATGCAGACATATCCACTTTCCTCGCTACTTTCCTACATACTCACGCAGGCAGCTACGCACCCACCCACACAAACACAAACACAAACACAAACACACACACAGACACACACACACACACACACACTCACTCACAGACACACACACACACACACACATACGCGCATGCAACACACACACACACACACCATGTGTACGCATCTGCACATGCACTCGTGCATGCTGACCATACTGTGCCACATTATGCCGGCAAAGAGAAAAGCATGTTCTTTTCCGCCCGATGCTCGACCATATCGTGCAAAGCCAAGTAAGACCCACATCGTAAAAAAAGCTGACGACTCAAGCCAGTCCAAAAATCCAAACTCATCCGCCTTAACCTTGCCAGTGAAAAGGAGCCCTTCGTTTCCCAAGCCCCAACACTGGGAAGAGTTCCACCAGTTGCATCCGTTCAGGGTGGTTTAAGCTCGTCAGGGCTTGGACGTACGACTGCGGGGCCTAGACTTTAGGTTCGTGCTTAGTGTCTACGGTTTAGGATTTAGGGGTTTAGGGTTTAAGGGTTTCGGGTTCTTCGGCGTAGCTGCCCTAGAGTTATCTGGACTGGACCATCGTGGCTGAGCAACAATTTCTTTGCGGCAACCATCCCGGAATTCCCCTAAACTATCTCTAAACTATCTACCCCAAGCCCTGTATAAACCTTAAGCCATTAACCCTAATCCCTGATTGTAAGTACCTTAATCGGGTTACAAGTAGTTTTAAGTACAGGTGCCTTAGTGATAACCCGAGTTACTAAGTCCCACCATCCTTCAGGTACTCTAATCCCTGCCAGGGAGCAGAGGAGGACACCGGAATGAAGAGAAGTTCCCCCTTCAAGTCATGGAGCCTGCATTCGGTGGTCTATAGGGGCTTGGTTAGGTTTAGGGTATGCGGTTTGAGGTTTAGGGAGTTCCATAGATTTAGGGTATAGGGTCTATTTCGGATTTAGGGTGTCGAGTCATTAGTGGATATAGAGGGTTCATCGTCTGGTATCAAGGGATCTACAGGGTGCAATGTTTTAGGGTTTAGGGTTTAGAGTTTAGGGTTTAGGGTTTTGCTGTTCAGGGTATAAGTATAGGGGAAAGTCCCAGACACCTGGGATGGCGCCCTGCACCTGAATCTCCTCATTCCCTAAAGGCTCGCAGTCATCCGGTTCCCAGCAGCCCCTTAACAACAATACTAAAAAGAAAAAGAACAATAATAATAATGATAATAAGGGTACCCTTCTTCCTCCAAGTTGCCTTTAATCAGACCCCAGAAGAAAAAAAGGCAAGAGGGTTACTACTGGGGACCTGGTTCCCCATCGATAACAACAGAAAGCCGGAACTTCAAAACACAATACAAAACATGTTCGGCAAGAAGCAACGAGGGACTGTTGAGTTCCTTGCTTCCCTGCTGCTGGAGTAAATTCCGTGGCCGTCCCAACATGCCCTAAACCCCAAGCCCTAAAAATCTCCCTGGCCGAATAATGATATCAGGCAATGCAGGCTCTTGTTGTCAAATCTCGAAAGAGTGCTTGCCCGTCTTCGGGTAGCATTCTTCCATTGGTTGAAGGCGCTCGTTCCGAATGGTCTTTGGGTGCCCACGAGAAAGTGGCTCAGCCCAGGGTGCCCATATCGGTACATCTGCTCTTAAACTTAAACCGAGAGCAGTGGCACCAAGAGTGACAGCACGAAACTGGTTCCCAAGCTGGTCCGGCGCCACAGAAACTGGCACAAGCACAGCAAAAGTGAATAAAGCTAAACCCAACCCTAAACCCTAAACCCTAAACCCTAAACCTTAAACCTTAAACCCCAAACCCTGAACCCTATCTTCAAGCATGATACCGTGGCTCAAGGACCCGGTAACCAGCCATACGCCACAAAGCCTCCAGCCTGATAGCTCCGGGCGCCACAATTTTTAAAGTTTAGGCCTTCCACAAGGAACAAACATTGCACTGGCAGACCTAAACCCTAGACCCCTAAACCTTATAAAACCCTAAACTCTAAATAACCCTAAAACCCTAAACCCTAAAACCCTAAACCCCTAAACAAAACTCCCCACTCTGAGCGCGAACTCCACGGACATCCCCCATCCTAAAGCTTGAACCATACACCTTCCTCCCTAAACCCTCAAGACATACGATTGATGATATGGTTTGGGGGGTTTAATATAGAGGCCTTGATGATTAGAATAGGATTTCGCTGTATGTTATACTACAAATATAATAAGGAACCCCCCCCACAAAACACGGTTGATGGCCTGAATCCTGCATTATCCACAAAAAGGAATATACCAGAATTCCCATAGTCGAGGGTCCTTGAGATTATGCCGGATTTATATCATCAACAGTATTGCACCTCAAACGCTACACCCTGCATGGAGACTCAGGAGACTTAGTAAGCAGATTTCAAGCAGCATTCTGAGCACCCGAACTGGGGCTACTTGCAGGTTCATGGGTAGTTATAAGTGGAGATATGAGTAAGCTAACTATAATTATAACCCATATTAGGGGACTTGTAACCCCACTTATAACTACCCATGAACCTCAAGTAATTAACCCTACCTTAAGAACCCAAAACCCACTTTTTTGTAGGTTCTTGTTATAAACCCTAATATGGGATTTAGAGGGACCCTACAAAAAAGTAGGTTTTGGGTTCTTAAGGTACTTGGTTCCTCTAAATCACATATTAGGGTTTATAACAAGAACCTACAAAAAAGTGGGTTTTGGGTTCTTAAGGTACTTATCACTCTACTTACAACTAACGTTCTAGGCCCTCTCGGATCGCCTGTCGCTCGCAGACCCGAAGATCATCCTGAGCAGTGCCAGCAGCCCAGTAATGTAGGGGCCTTAATAATTAGAATAGGGCTTTGGGGTTCCTTCAAAGGGATCCTTAAAGGGTTCTATAAGGGATCTATATAATAGGGTTATATAGTAGGGGCCTTAATATGTAGAATAAGGTTTTGGGGGGCCCCTTATACTATAAGTCTAATAAGGAACCACCAAAATAATAGAGGTAATTGTTTAGGCCCCTACATTACAGAATATGGCTTTCAAAAGTGGAACGAGGCTTCGCAAAGGGTTCCTTCAAGGGTCGCACATAGTTTCTACAACGGAGGTTTATAAAGCTTGTTGGGGGCTTTAAAACATGGAGACAACCTTTCCGGGGCACAGTCTTGTACAAGATACACAGGGGTTGTATTGTACGGGGATGGCATTGCTAGTTATTCAGACCCCTAGATTGTCATTAGGGTGTTGAAGGGTTTCCACAAATGCCTTCAATACCCACGAATAAGCAAACGCCTTGAGAGTGTGGAGGGTTCGTAACACGATATGACATGATGTCCTCTTTGAGAGAACATTTTCCCCTATGGCACAGCACAGAAACCCGTTGCAACCCGGTAGCTGTTCCTTCCCATCTTATTCCCAAGTTCGTGGTGAAATTTGAATATCCCTACACGAATTTTGAGAAGATGTCGTAATGTCATGTACAACTTATTCCCGAGGGCTGTTCGGCTCACATGGACCAGCTGAGTAATCAGGAAGTTTCGGGTTTAGGGTTTAGGGTCTAGCTTATTGTGGCAATAAAAACTATACTAAAAAACACCGCAATACCCCGACCTAATGCTTACAACCCCTGAAAATCTTGTAAAAACTAGCCATTTCCGAACCCAAAGAGAAGCCCGCTTTGAAGGAGGCCTTAAGGAAACCCTGTTCTACTAGTAGTTCGGGGGTCTGGGGCCGCGGGTTGGGCTTAGGGCCCTTTCAGGGGTCCGGAGACTTAGTAAATACGGTTTATGATATAAATCTGGGATTAACCCTAATAAGGCATATACCACAACTTCCATAGTTTAGGGTCCTTAAGGTAATGCCGCATTTATATCATCAACAGTAGTGCTTCATCAGGCTCTTCGAGCGCTGCTCTAGGTGCTTCTAAGGTTTCTACGGATACTTAGGCGATTAGGCTTCCATCGAGGTGCTGCAGGGTTTATAGGGCTTTGCCGAGTTAAATGTAAAGCTACATGCAGGTTAACCCTGATTCGGGTATAATATATGCTCATGGCTTACAACTTACTTGCGAAGTCCCCTGATCCTCCCGGTGGTGCATGCTAGACACGCCGGGGTCTCTACAAATCTGGCGTTCGCGATGTACAGAGCTCATCATCGGGATATCGCTATTTAGGGTCTTGGGCACACGCCGTTTTCTGACTCGCCTGTTCAAGAGCCGAAAGCAGTTAGTTAGTCCTCAAAAATGCTATCTGAAGTAAGGCTTTTTGCACAACTAGCGACTGCTATCCATAAACAACATCCAAGTAGAATCTAAACTTAACACTCACCAATATATTCAAAAGGAGCCCGATAGAGGCTGAGTAAAATCCCCAATCCCAAACAGTCTTGGAAGCATAGCTGAATGTTTCTTACAACTTGACACATGGACACCGTCGAAGAGCAGCCCAGCTGCGTGTGCCGCTGGTCCGCCCTGGAGGCGAGCTCGGGGTGCGACAAGACAAAAAGTTGGAACAGGAGGGGCTCACGTTTATTCGACCTGTGACCCCAAACCCTACAAAATAGTAGGTTATGACCCCTGAATACGAGGGTAGAACCCTCAACAACGGTAGGTTTTTGGGATCCGCAGGGAGTTTGAAACCCTGGGCTTTGAGGATCTATGGGCTTCGCGCTTGAAGCCTTAGGTCGTTAAGGTTTCAGGTCCCCATTTGTACAAATTCAATTTTTGGGGCTTAGGTTTAGGGTTTAGGGTTTAGGGTTTAGAGTTTAGGCCTTAGGCTTCAAGGGCTTTTCGGCTCGGGGTAATGAGACTTGAGTGAGGTGCGTTTTTGCACACGCGGGTTTGGAGAGTCGGATTTAGGGAGTCTAGGGGTTTATGTCACAGATTTACTGGTAGTTTCCGACCCAAACAAAGACTCTGCTCATAAGGTCCATGTTGCAAGGCCCCTGAAGTAAAGGCCACCGACATTTTGCAAACTCTTGGTCTTTATGGTTTCGGGGTTTGAAGAATCAGGGGCCTTGTGAGCTTCGTCCCCGAACAGTATCAAGCCGCTTGGCCCTAAACTCCACGCACGAAATTCCACACCGAGGCTGGCAACCCCTGAATCCCTCATGAGTCCTATAAATCCTGCATTGCCCGTAATGAGGAATATGCCATAATTCTCATCATTAAGCGTCCTTAACGAATGCAGGATTTATATCATCAACAGTATGTAACCCTAAGCCACTTACACAATCCTTAACAAGAGCCCAGCCCTAAGCCTAAACTCCACACCCTAAGGCCTTCGGTTCACCCTAAACCCTAAACCCTAAACCCTAAACCCTACACACTAGACCCTAAACCCTACACGCTAAAACCTACACCCTCAACCCTAAACCCTGTACCCCGTAAACCCTAAAACCCTACACACTAAAACCTACACCCTCGACCCTCTACCCTTGAAAGCCTATAGGCCTACACCAAAAAACTGAACAGGAGCCCTAAACCCTAAACCCTAAACTACTAAACCCTAAACCCTAAACCCTTAACCCTATACCCTAAACCCTAAACCCCCAAAACCCAGAAATCCACGCCGAGGCTCTTCGGTAAGCCTTGGCGGAGGACTTTTCGGATGTCGCTGTGCAAACCCATGTCCAACCTTTAGGATGTGGGGGAGGGGTTTAGGGTTTAGGGTTTAGGGTTTAGGGTTTAGGGTGGGGGGGATTC